GGAGCAAGGAGACCAACAAACCTGACCCAGTTCCACCAGTTCTGTCAGGAGGAATGGGCCAGAACTCATCAGACTATAGTGCGATGTGTTTTTTTGGACAGTCGATGTAAACTTCTGGGGGCTGGGCTGCATGCTGCGTTCTGCGGGCTGTATGCTGCGGGCTGTATGCTGCGGGCTGCGGGCTGTATGCTGTTGTGATGTTTTATCATGCTGCTGATGTGCTGAGGTGTTTTTCCTAATCCCACTCTGTACGCCCCCTAGAGGAGCCTCGTTTCCTCTTGTTTGTCCTTTTCCTATCTAATGATAGGGGGCGCTGCTCATGCTGGCTGACCCGACAGGTCTCCCTCCCGTCTCTCCTGTTATTGGTCACTGCCTGTTTATGTTTCGTGGACGGGATGTAATTGCAAAAGTAATTTCCCTGGAAAGGGATCAATAAAGTTCCATCTTATCTTATTTTAGTGCCAAATAAAAGAAAATGCATGGTGTGAGTTTGATGAATGTAGAATTAAAAATCTAAAAGCCATCTACACATGGATGTAGTGTAGTTTTCACTCCTGCCCATTAGATGGCGCTAAAGGTTTACTTTAAGAGGATGAATCAGAAGAAATCAAAATAAAATCCCGAGAAACGAGCAAACTGGCTCAAGAGCTTTGCTCTTCAAGCCAAATGACTGAACGATGAGCTGCTGGAGGAAGGAGAGGGCAGAACAAGCTGCACTCGTATTGTTCTGGTTGGGGTTTCATTCTAAGGCCACCAACCAGACACTCTGTGGCCTTTCTGTCCGTCAAAGAGCCACGACTCCCTCACAGTGACAGCAGACTGTAGAAGGAAGCCTTTTCTTGAGTGTTTCAGTCCCAGGAGGAAAGTCCAAGACGAGGAGCAGCGTGTTCAGATGCACGTCCACGTCTTGAACCCGATCGCTGCCCAGAAGGAGCAGACTGAATATTTACTGAGAAATGGGGAAAGAGAGATCAAACGCTTTTTGGCAGGTGACCCCTGACATGCTAGCTCCTCCCCCTCCTCCATGCAACCTGCAGCATGCTGGGAGAAACAACAAGGGATTCTGGGAAAGACAGGGGGAGGCTTTCTTCAACACAAACAACATCTGTGTGTGAGGCAGAGAGCAGTTCACTGAAGCACTGCTTCTTCATGGATGTTATCAGAATCCTTTCTCCTGAGCTGACGGGTTTCTTCTACATTCAGCTGCACTGGAATCATTTTGTTGTGAACAAAGAACAGTTTTTTAGGTGATTAATTTGGAAATGTAGTTTTCTTGTTCAGCCTTTTTGTGGGAAACTTCTGAATGTGAGTTTGGCGTGAATGAGATGGTTCTTCTGCTCAGTAGAGGTGAGCCTGAACAGGTGCCTGTAGGAGCTCTTAAAGGAGCAGTCTGGCATTCTGGACAATACTGGTGCTTCTTGCTGACAGCTCAGCTCAGACAGAACCAGACTACAGACAGGAGAAAAGTCACTTTGTCCAGAACATATTGAAGGCGTACAGCTCACAGCCTGTCCCTCTGTCTGTCCATGGACGAACCTGGTCAGGTGTGGTGTGTTTAACAGGCTCCAGGTGGACACAGTCAGCCTACTGGGCTCCACGATCATACTTTAAACCACCTGCTCAACATTGTCCAGTTCCTCTTCGTGCCACCAGAACTCTAACCCTCAGCTGACAGTAGTCCTGTATGTGCACTGCTGCTCCGGTCTGAGCTACAGGGTCCAGCTGAGTCCTGATAGATGGACAGACACTTTTAGTTTTCTTCTCTTCGCTGACACTGAAGTGTACAGTCATGAATGGTGGCCCTGAGACCACCAGGTTGCAACTCGTCTCCTGTTCTTGTGTCAGTGTGCCAACATGTGCAGGATCCAGACGTCTCCAGTCCCAGGTTCTGGATGCAGCTTTACGGCAGCACTTCAGTTTGCTTTAAACACAAACCGTCCTGTGGTTCTGTTCATCTACTCATCTTTCATTTGGGGCTGCAGTTGGTAGCACCGTGGCCTCACAGCTAGAAGGTCCCGGTGAGGACACCCGGGATCTTCCTGCGTGGAGTCTCCATGTTCTCCCCGTGCAGCGTGGGTTCTCTCCGGGTTCTCC